CACCTCCCATAGGTATCGCTCTTCTTTCTCCATCCTCCCTCCTCTCTCCTCTCTCTCCTCCGAAGCCATGTCGGCTCAAGTCTTTGGCTGCCGGCAACAACACACGGATACCGCTGATCCGCGGCAACACTCAGCATTCGCCTGGTCCGCCCCAGGCTGAACTCGCACCCTGTTCGCCCCGTGAGTGGCCAGCGTTTCAGGAGCCCTCGCACATCAAAAATAGTCCAAACATAGTCTGGGGACTATTTTTTGAAATTTGTTTGACTTTTTTGGCGGATTTTTTGAATATTTTGATATTTTTCGACGACAATCCCCCTGTAGGGAATGTTGGGCAGATTCTGATGGCACATGGTCTTCCCGCTGCAGCGGGTGGCTCGCAAAACACCGCAGAGCTTGGGCAGGCCCGCGGTACTGACACCGGTGTCTCCGCCCCAGCTTAGGGAAGAGGTGGTGGACTATAGTGGGCCCTGGAAACGACAGGGCGTTGTTTTACGGGTTCCGTTTTGCAGCTTTTTTGCCGGTTCCGACGCCGTTTTTGTTACCGATTCCGTCGCCGTTCTTTGACCGGTTCCGGCCATGTGTTTACCGTTTCCGGTCGCCTTTTTTTGCCGTTTCCATTTCCAAAGGGCACTCTTTTGGAAACTGTGAAAAAACGGCCCTGCCGTTTCCGGGGCCCACAAGGGTGGCGGTGACAAGATGGCGAGTGCGCAGTGCAGCGCGGCGAAAGGATGCATCATTTGGCGGGCTCAGGGCGCCGAACTGGACCAGTGTCCGTGCACCCACTGCTGCTGCTGCTGCTGCTGCCAAGGCGGCTGCGAAGGCCAAGCTCCTCCGCGAGAACGACCAAGAGATTGCCAGGCTCAGGGCGATGCAAAGAACCACCGAGGCGAGCCCCACGCCCCCTTGAGATCCGACGTTGCAAACAAGATGCAGCATCGCAAGCATCACGCCTGAAGCCCCAGACCCAATCTTTCTGATTTTTGTTTTTCGAGCCAGATCGATATGTAAGGGTCCTGGGGCCCAAGATTGAGCGAAAACGCCCACTGCGAAAAGATTGCAACGCCAGGACCTCAGGGGCCACCCGTGGAGTGTGGAGGTGAAGATGCGGACCACAAGCGCTGGCGAAGAGGTTGCCACACTGCTCCAGCAGCGTGGCACGCCTGCCGACGAGACGCTGCTCGGTACCAAGAACTCTGGTCTGCCGCCGAGCGCCATGGGCTCGAAGAGAAGAGGTAGTCAACAACACGCCCGGCGTCGCGGGGGCGCAGCACGGGACCAATCACATCAAGTCGATGCAGGCCCAGGAAGTCAAGCAGGGCCAGGTCCTGTCCGACCTGCGAGAGCAGCAGGGGAGTGCCCCGCATGGTATTATTTGACGGGGGCCATGCCTCTGGCAAGCGCGCGAGGGAATTTGAATAAGTTCGATGTGAGAACGCGAAGGCCTCCTTGGACAGGAAAGCTGGAAAAAACATTGGGTTTCCTAGGGATAGACGGGAGTGCGCGGGATGAAATGTTGAAGACTTGTTGTTGAAAAAGCTTTGGGTGTTTGTGTCCACGCTGAAATCGCAACGAAAACGAAGGTTTTGGACGGATTTCGTCTTGCGCACGCGCATGTGGCCCGCATGGTATGATTTGACAAGGATGAGGGGGGACCCGATACCGGGACTAGCTGGGATGGTATGAATTCAAACGGAAAGTGTGCAAGGAGGCAGCATCATATGTCAACTGCAGCACCCCAGGGGGGAGTGGTAATTCCAGGGGGGAGGGGAGAATCGAATTTCTTTTTAAGAAAAGAGAGAATATGGTGTGCAATCTAAGGTATCCACCCTGTGTGGCGCGCTCTATCTGGTGAGCGAAGCAAGCAATGTGCTGCAATCCATGTTGTGCAACATATGTTGTGCAACCTGTGTTGTACACTCTACGTGGTGCCATATAGGTGGTACAACACCTGATGTGAAATCGGTGTGGTGCAAGCCCATGTGGAACACACTCGGTTGTGCAATATATGCATATGTATATACAAGACTGCAGTGGCGCTTCGCGCCATGCATCTTGGTCCTTGAAGTTTGGTATGCAGGCGGAATAACGGGAAGGTCAAGCCGACAATTTAGCGATAACTCCTGGTTGCCTTTTCTGGCATTGCCGCTATAATAATGTTATTCGTTATCCTTCCTCCATGCTTCTTGTTCCTTATGTTCGCCATGCCCTGCGCATTATCCCCATCCTCCTCAGCTCTTTTTTGCGGAGGCTCCTCCTTGGAGAGCCTCTAGGGGCCTCACAAAAGTTGTTTCAGGCGTTCTTAAGGCCTTCTGGAGACCGCCTGGGCGTATTCTGGGGGCCTCCAGGGGCTTCTTCGGGCCACCCTGCCTCCAACCGCGGTCTCCCTGAACGACCGAATCACGATTTGGAATTCTTCGGAGGGTGTCTTTGGGCCATCTTGGGCCGCCATGGGGCTCTCTGAGGGCCATCTTGGACCCGTGTTGTGCCGTTTTGGGGCTCTCTTGGACTGGCTGGAAACCCTTTCGGATGGTTGTGGGGCGATTGTGGAGCTTCCCAGGCGGCTTCGGACGCCCAGAAGACCACCGTCTTGGAGCGTCGGGAAGCCGAAAAGAGGAGAACCCTAAAATTCACCAAAAACCAATGGAAAATCAATGATTTTTGCCTCGGGGGGCCTTCTTGGGAGTGCTCTTGGAGGCCTCTTTGGGGCCGTCCTGGAGGCCTCTTGGGCCATCTTGAGGTCACGTCGGTCACTCTTGGAGCGCTCTTGTGCTGTCTTGGGGGTCTCTGGGACGTCTCCGATGACCCCCCTGATCGCCTTAGGTGTTCTGGGAAGACTTGGCAAAGCGCCATGTGAGGCCCGGGTGCCGCTTCGAGGCCCGTCTGGAGGGTCCCAAAGCCCCAGATCCCGTGAGTCCGATTTTTTTTTGGGGGGGGGATGGGTTTCCCCCCCGCCCGGGCTTATTAAAATATAGGAAGAGGAATATTGTGCAATGTGGGTGGTGCGAGCCATGAGGTGTAGTATCTGTGTTCCGCGATAAAAGTGGACCAGTATATGTGGTGCCATCTGCGTGGTGCAGACGATGTTGTGCAATAAACGGGGTGCAACCAATATTGTGCAATCTAGGTGGTGTACTCTTAAATGGTGCTGTATATGTGTGCAAAACGTGTGGTGCAATCTATGTTGCGACATCTGTGTTGTGCAATGTAGGTTGTGCTATTCATGTGGGGCGGCGGCGGCGCGGCGACGGCGGCAACAAGCGCGGCGACCGACAGGCAGGCCCAGACGACAAGCGCCGACGAGGCGGCGACGGGGCGGCGGCGGCGGCCACATAGCCGCCGTACCGAAGACACGGCCCAGACGACGGGCGGCGACGAGGCGACAGCGGGGCGGCGAAGGCGGCCACATGGCCGACAGACCGAAGACACGGCCCGGCCCATAAGTGCAAACACTGCCTGGGGAAAAAGCAACTCGGCCCAATCCGGTATACCAAAACAAGCGGAGGGGGGTCGGATATCTTCCGCACGGGGTCAGGGGGGAGAGGAGAGTAGTGCATTCAGAAACTGTAAAGAGGACAGAGGAGAGAAGCCAGCTAGGTGCGCTCGAACTACATCTGATATCCGATCACTCCCTTCCATCCCTTCCAATTGCGCCGATGCTCCTCTACCAGCGGACGCATGTCGTAGCCGACCTGGAACTCCATCACCCCCGCAAGCCCCCGTAACAGCAGCGAAGGTGACCAGTGGGACCTGTGTGGCAGGTGGGAGCTGTGGAGTTTGTTCGATCTGTGGGACCTGTGGAACCTGTGGGACCTCTGTGTCCTGTGGGACCTGGGGGGCCTGCGGGGCAGGTGGGAACTGTGGCCCTGTGGGAACTGTGGGACCTGCGACACCTGTGGAACCTGTGGCACCTACGGGGGCTGTGGGAACTGTGTGACCTGCGAGACCCGCGAGGCCTGCGGCACCCGCGGGACCCGTGGGACCCGTCGAACCTGTGAGCCATCCGTGGGGCTCGACACCCGTGGGCCCTGTGGGACCAGCGCGACCTGCCGGACCTGTGGGGCCTGCGACACGACACCCGGGGACCTGCGGGACAGCCTGGAACCTACCAGACCGGATGCAGCTCTGCGGGAGGCCCACGACGCCCGTGGGCCCCGCAGGGGCCTGCGCACGTGGTCGGCGAGGCCCGCGAGACCCTCGGGGGACCTGCAAGGCCTCGGGGGTCCAGCACAGTGACCCACGCTGGAGTGAGAGCGCGACTCTGGACGACGGGGGCAAAACGCCGATCCGAACACGAGGCCCCCGCTGCAGCGGGAGCGCTACGTTGACACAGGGAGAACGGTCAAGTGTCAAAACCACATGGCACACACACACACACACACACACACTCGGCCCAACCTATTGTCAATCCTGTGAGAAGGACGCGATACGCGGAGAGGGCGGACCCAGGCCCCAGACAACTCCAGAGGAGAGCGGAGATCAGCATTCAGATCGACAAGTTGTAGAGAGAGGTGAAAGGCAGAGGATGAGGATGGGGAGCTGCAGCAGGCAGGCTGGCGGAAGGACGCCCCTCCTCTCCCTGCCCCTTCCCGCTCTCTCTCGGCATCCCCTCTCCCCCATGCCCAACGCCTCCCTCTTCCATGGCCTGTCCCTTCCCTCGCCTTGCCCTCTTATACCAGATCTCTACCACGTCCCGCTCGCCCACCCCCCCTGCGCGATCTCCCCCTGCCTCCCCCTCCTCCCCATCACCTAAACATCTCTCCCCGTGCGACCATCTGCGCCCATCCACGGGAAAGCATAATGTGCGGGTGTACCTAACTGGTGGGAGGGGTAGGCTTACGTCGGGCCTGTCCCCCTACAGGGGGATTTTCGACGAAAAATAAAACATAGTCAAACAATGCCCTTAAATGCCCAAAAATACTCAAAAAATAGTCCCCATATTATTTTCAAACTATTTTTGAATGGTCCTCCTGTAGAGGGACAGGCCCGACTTAAGGGTAGGCCGCAGCAGTGCAGCAAGGGCCAGCCCCAGCGCTCGCAGGAAGCTCGGAGCATCGCCTGGGCGAGCAGGTCGGCGGCGATCACCTCCGCGTCCGCGGACTTGTCAGCCAGGACGAGCACCTCGCTGGGCCCGGCAAGCATGTCGATCCCACATATGCCGTTGACGATGGACTTCGCAGCGGTGACCCACTTGTTGCCTAGGGAAACTGGAAAATAAAGGAAAACGAACTATGCACATACACCGATTCTGGCCAGGCCCATCCTGAGCCCAGGATCGGTGCATACGCCCTCCTACCTTGGCCAGGAAGGCATATGCACCGATCCTGGGTCAAGGATGGGCCTTGCCAGGATCGGTGCATGTGCATAGTTCTCTTCGCCCGAAAAAATACCGATACCGCTGCTCCCCGGACCTGACTCTGGGTGCGTTCTGACCAGAAACCCAAGGCGGATCCAACGGCGGCGACGAGGGCCTCCCAGGAGGCCGAAACAAGAGAAAAACAGGGGCGGGGTAGCAGTATTGGTACCCTTTCCTCCTCGGATTGCCAGGGCCCACGATGATGTCGCACGGCTTGACCCCGACGCCGTGGGCCATTGCAGCAATGGCATGCGCACCACCCACGACCAGCAAACAGTCGGCTCCGGCCACAAAAGCGGCGCCCTTGGTGACCTCTGTTGGACACGGCGAAGCAGCCACGACCTGTCGAGGAGCCGCAGGATCTCGGAGAGGGGGAGGGATGGGGGGAGGTGAAGATGGGAAGGTGAGAACAGAGATGAGGTTGAGGATGATGACGTGGAAGAACATGATGACGAGGAGGAGAGCCGAGAGAAAGGACGCGGGTAAGATAAAGAAGAAGGTGCTTTAGGGGAGCGAGAGAAAGAGACAGGAGGGCGGAGGGACCCTGAGATCCGACGTGCCGACAAAAATGCAACAGCGTCAAAAATCACACCCGGAGCCCCAGACCCCATCCTTCTGCGCAATTTTGAAGGCCGGATCGATCTGTGTGGGTTCCGGGGCGCGGAGGGAGCGCGAGGGAGGAAGCAGAAAAGGACACCCGGGATGGCCCCCTCCCCCCCTTTGGCTCTGGGCCAGGGCGGGCAGGTCTGCGCTGGATCGGGTCGCGAGATCGGAGCGGCTTCAGGGCGGATCGAATCGCCGCGCCCCGCTTCCGGCTGGCCCTGGCCGATGCCAGGTCGGGCGTGCCCTCCCACAGGCGGATTTTGGACCAACAGAAATCCTCAAACAATGAACAAGATATAGTTTTCAAACATCGAACAGTCGTCCCCGGCCTATGTTTGTGCTATGTTTGCACACTCCTCCTGTAGAGGGACATGCCCGATTTAAGAATAGAGCGAATCCCAGAGATCCGACGTCGTGATTTTTTCAATACGGGGTCCCCGGAGGTCTCGACCCATCCTCCAGGACCGGTTTTTCATCCTGAGTCGTTTTTTGTCGGTCCCAGGGCCCGGCGAGGGCCCCTTGAGGCCGAAAATTGCGAAAAACCTGCGTCTTGATTTTTCCAATACGTTGGATCTCTGGGATCCCAGACATGCGACGTCCTGATTTTTTCAGGGCGGCGACCCTGGAAGTCCCGACCCTTCCCCCGGGACCGGTGTTTCGTCCGGAGTCGTTTCTGTCACGGTCCCGAGGCCTGGCGAGGGCCCCCCGGAGCCAAAAATAGCCCAAAACCTCCCGCCCTGATTTTTTTTTACGACGCGATCATGTCTGGGATCCCAGAGATCCGATGTCGTGATTTTTTCAATACGGGGTCCCCAGAAGTCTCGACCCACTCCCCAGGACCGGCTTCTCATCCTGAGTCGTTTTCTGACGGCCCTGGGGCCCGGCGAGGGCCCCTCGAGGCCGAAAATTGCGAAAAACCTGCGTCTTGATTCTTTCAGTACGTTGGATCTCTGGGATTGGGATCGCGGCCCCAGCCGGCGCATCGAGCCGCACCGCACGCGGGTCGCGTGTGGGCGGCCCCGCCGGCGGGCGGCAATGGCCTCTCCCGCCGCGGGGCCGGAGGAGCCGGGGCCGGAGGAGCCGCACCGCGGCCGCGAACCGCCGGCGCACCGCGCGCCGGCGGCACGGATTCGGGCCGGGCGAAAGGGGGGAAAGCAAAGGGGGCCCAGAGATCCAACGTATTGGAAAAATCAAGACGCAAGTTTTTCGCAATTTTCGGCCTCAAGGGGCCCTCGCCGGGCCCTGGGACCGACAAAAAACGACTCAGGATGAGAAACCGGTCCTGGAGGAGGGGTCGAGACCTCCGGGGACCCCGTATTGAAAAAATCACGACGTCGGATCTCTGGGAAGGGGAGGTTTGAGAATCAGCTCGCACGGAGCTGGTTTTCAAACCTCCCGGCGCCGGGAGGCGCCATCGAGGAGCGGGCCCCTCGGTGGGGCCGAAACCAGCTGCATGCAGGAGATGTCGTAACCCCCCCTTTCCCCGACCTTCCAGAATGCTAAAGATTAGCACTTCAGACCTACAAACTTATCTGGACTGCCTCAAACCTTGACAGGAATTAGGATGTCGATGTCCTGCAGGATTGGGCAGCTGCATGCAGGAGATTTCGTACCCCCCCCTTTCCCAATCCCCCCCTTTCGTCCGGTCCGAAGTGCGAGGAGCGGGATCCCCGGGGGCTGCGCCGCACGTCGCCGGCGGGTCGGCGACGCGGCGCGGTCCTCCGGCCCCGCCTGCGGTCAACCCGTATATATCGAGCAGGGTCCGGCCGTCCCGGCATTCCTGTAGGCCTACCACGACATGTTCTCAGAACCCAACAGTGCTCGAATAACCAAAAAACATGTCCTTTTCACATAAAGCCCGATGGGGGGCTACGACAAGACAGCCCCGGCCAGAACTGTTCTAAGAATATTTCGTGGAAGCCACAAAAGGTTCCTAGAGCATTGTTCGGTAGGCCTATATGCGCGCCAGGACGCTTCACAACTGTGTGAGTAGAATGAGGATGCGCGGGAAGGGTGCAAGGGCCTTGGAGAGCCACGCCAGCGTTTTTCGAAGGAGGCTGGCCAGCGAGAGCGTCGCCAAGGACGGACCGGGGGGCAAGGATGGAAAGGTACCCTTGGGAAGGTGGCCCGTGCTTTCTATGCGGGTTGATTGTACGGCAGGTTCGCGTCGTGCCGACTTCGGCGTTGGATTCTGACACCGCGGGGATCGTTCAACCTTCACGATCGGCCGCTTCCGCAACGTCAGATCTTTCAACATCCACCGATTCTGAGTCGCCGGCGGCGGTCAACGTTCAACGCTAGCGGCGGGGTCGCCGCCGGTCGACATACCATCACGTCACGCTGCTCCCCCCCAGGGCACGCAATATTGCCAGGACTTCGAGGCGAAGCCAGCCGCGGTGATGAGGAAGGCACAGCGATGTATCGGTACCCTGTCCTGCCCCGCCCGTCTCTGAGATCCGACGCAGCGACAGGATTGCAACCTCGCAAGAAACCACGCCTGGAGCCCCTCAGACCCCATCTCTCTGCGCCATGCCTCGAACCGCACCGACCCGTGAGGGCCCCGGGGCCCCACAAAAAACGAGGCGAGGACGCCCGGCTCGCCGAGCGTGGGGCGCGCCTAGGACGTCTCAGGGCTCGGCGCCGCCGGCGCGCAGATAGCGCGCAGGCCCCCCGGGCCTCCGGCACCCCGGCGGCCCGCGCCGTGCAGCACGTCATGATCACCGAGGACGGCAGCGGGTAGCGGCCGCCGGGTGCGTAGCAGCCCGCGCGCCTCGCAGCGGCGGGAGGGGGGGGGGCCGCCCCGGGCCACGAGCCCCGAGCCTCGCCCTGCCAGAGGGCGCGACGGCTTGCCGGCCCCGCGGGGGGGGTGCAGCCATCGAGCCGCCATGAGCTCCTCGTCCTCTTCCTCCTCCTCCTCCTCCTCCTGTTCGTGTTCCTCCTCCTCCTCCTCCTCCTCCTCCTCGTCCTCCCCCTCATCGTCCCTCTCCTCCTCCTCCTCTCCTCCTCCTCCTCCTCCTCCTCCTCCTCCTCCTCCTCCTCCTCCTCCTCCTCCTCCCCCTCCTCCTCCCCCTCGTGCTCCTCCTCCTCCTCCTCCTCCTCCTCCTCCTCCTCCTCCTCCTCCTCCTCCAGGTCACCTGGCCTCGCGCATCGCGCCCCGCGAGTATCTTCGCGCCCTGGCGCCCCCCCCGACGCTCCCTTGGAGAAGGGCAGCCTCTCTGGCCCAGGCCGCGAAGCGCGATTATCTTCGCGCCTCTGGAGATGACCTGGACCCCATGAACGGCCGAACAAGGAACGAGGGCGGCTTCCTAGCCACGGCGAGCCTCGGCCACGAGCAGCTTCCCCCCCCTTGGACCTCAGGAGCGGTCCCAAACCCAAACCCCCGGCGTCCTGTTTTTTGTTTTCACAACGTCGACCCCCAGAGGTCTGGACCCCTTCACCGGGACCGCTTGTTCATCGCATCGCATCGCCAGCGGCACGGAAGCTGTCTGAACTATCACGGGGCGCCTTCACACCTCGTGGTAAGCATCTGGACGCCTGCTGCTGAAAGCTGTGGCCGAAACAAGTGTTTTCATCGTGGTTCAATCCATGAGTTGACGCTCTGGCCGGGGGGCTCTGCAGCAGCACTCCGGACGCCGCCCTTCCATATTCCGCGTCGCTGCTCGACGGCCCCGAGGCCCAGCAGGGGCCCCATGGAGGCCGAGCACCGCGAAGATCCTCCCGTCGCGATCGCCTCACCACGCGAGGGGGTCTGAGAACTCGAGCCCCTCCCCGGGGCCAAAGGGTGGCGGTGCGGCCCTCCAGCTCGCCTGGCCTCCGGCGGCGGGCCGGGGCCGCCCTCCGGCGAGGATGCCCGCCCGCCTCCAGAGAGGCCCTCCGCCGAGAGGGGCCCGGACGCCCGACGATGTGCTGCGTGTGCACCTCGGGCGCGGCCTGGCCGACCCCCGGCTGGCCATCCTCTGCGCTGGCGCCGTCCTCGCCTTTCGAGCTCCCCTCCGGCCGCACACGAACCCACGTCTTGGGGCGAGGCGAGGAGGACATCACGGAAGGCGACGGGGTCAGTCATGCCGCCCCTGGCCATCCCGCCGTGTTTCCTTGATTTCGGCCACCAGCCGGGCTCGAACTACAGTCAACCCGTAAAGCAAGGATGCGCGGCAAGAATGCAAGGGCCGAAGCCATGATGAGGTTCTTCGAGTAGGGCTGGCCAGCGAGAGTTGCAAGAGATGGGCCCAAGGAGCAAGGGCGCAGGGGCCACCTTGGACAACTCCCTCACGCATACTATGCGGGTTAACTGTAAACAGTGCTTTCCATGTTGACACGGACAGCACTGTTTGTTTTGCTGTCCTTGCTAACGCGGAAAACACCGTAAACAACGCTTTCCATGCTAGCACGGAACACAAAGCGCGTTTTGCGTTCCTTGTCCCTCGCTCGGTCTTCGATCCCCCCTCTGCTGCAAAACGACATCAAAACAAAAAAAACGGAAAACCCTGTAAACAGTGCTTTCCGTGTCAGCACGGAGCACACAACGGAGTCGTTTTGCTTTCCTTGTCCCTCGCTCGGTATTCGTTCCCCCCTCTGCCGCAAAGCGACGTCAAAACAAAAAAAAAAAACGGAAAACCCTGTAAACAGTGCTTTCCGTGTTGGCACGGAAAGCACACAACGGACTCGTGTTGCTCTCCTTGTCCCTCGCTCGGTCTTCGTTCCCCCCTCTGCTGCAAAACGATGTCACCCCCCCCCCCCCCAAAAAAAAAAAACGGTCGACGAGACCGCCCCAACAACAACAAAAATTACCCCAGTGCGACCCTACCTAGGAGTTGGAACCCCTAGGAAAGCAGCACTAGTAGTAACATTAACGCTAAGCTAAAGCTAAACTAAAGCTAAGCTAAGGCTAAGCCAAAGCTAAGCCAAAGCTAAGCTAAAGCTAAGCTAAAGCTAAGCTAAAGCTAAGCTCAAGCTGAGCTGAAGCTCAGCTAAAGCTAAGCTAAAGCTAAGCTGAAGCTAAGCTGAAGCTAAGCTAAAGCTGAGCTAAAGCTAAGCTGAAGCTGAGCCACAGCTAAGCTGAAGCTAAGCTGAAGCTAGGCTAAAGCTAAACTAAAGCTAAGCTGAAGCTAAGCTAAAGCTAGGCTAAAGCTAAGCTGAAGCTGAGCAACAGCACAACAACAAACACAAATCGCCTATAGAACCCGAGCCCCTTGGCCTCCGGGGGGCCGCGCCCTCGGGCCCCCCCTCCGTGCGACCAGCAGAGGCATTCTGGAGCCGGGACGGCAGAAAACTATCGTGAAGTCGGGCCTGTCCCCCTGCAGGGGGACTTTAGACGAGTTTTTTTTTTTTTTGACAAAAAAACAAAAAAACAAAAAACAAAAAAAACTGTTCAACAGATGCAGAAAATACTCAAAAAATAGTCCCCAGCCTATTGTTTCATTATTTTTGAAGATTCGAATATTCCCCCTGCAGAGGGACAGGCCCGCCTTTAAAACTAGCCCCGGGGAGGAGGCAGATCGACCTCTGGGGGGGTGTCAGGGCCCCTCCGGGGGTGGGGGGTCTGGCTCCGGACCACTGCTGAATGCGACTCTTTGCATAGGTGCGTCCTACAGGGGGGAGATTCCACCCGCTCGAAACAGGCGCCAGAAACAGCCAAGATCTACTCCAGGTGGAGGGGAGGAGGGGGTGGTGCGAGGGCCCACGCCGATCGGCAAAACAATGAAAAAAAGGCAATCACGTTCGCCCCGACCTCTCTGTTCCGCCCGCCCGCTCGGCGCGGCACCTCCGTCCCTTGCGTCTCTGGAGGCACCCGACGCAACCGCTGGAGCCCCCCCCGGACGCCCCACGGTAGCCTCGACAGGACTTGGGGTGACCCACAAGTGGGTCTGGCCGAAAGGGGGTGGTGCAATAATACGTCTGGGGCAACTATATTGCAAATACTGTATATGGCGCAAGAAAATGGTATTGCATCGTATGGCAAATCATTGCACGCGAAAGTTCAGCAATGACTACATCTGCGCCCCAGAATGTCTTGCACGCCCCCATAATCTTGGAACCCACAAGTCCATTGCACCAGATCTACTGCAGCACCCCCTTGTTGTAGCTGGGCTTATGTTGTTCCCATCGTACTTGGGGACCATATCTCAGACATAATTTCGAGCACCCAGAAAAGTGTTTAAAGAAACCCTCGAGTTTGGGGGTGTTTTCTTGGTGCTGGAAATTCATTCTGGTGATCCAGGCTAAAGTAGGTTGGAACATCCTAAAGCTGGACCCATGTCATCCAGAATGACATCCCCGAGGAGGCCTCCAGCGGCCTCCCAGGGTAGCCCCGCCACGACGTCCCCGGAAAAACGCCTCACAGAAACGCCCACCGGAGCCACCAAAAGCTTCCGCGAAACCTCCCAAGGACGCCGGCGAACCTCGCCGGCCAGCCAGCCCTGCGAGCTCGGGGCCCTCGAGGCCCCATATGCCGGACAGCCGGGTGGGCCCGACAGGACGCCCACTTTGGCCCTCGCGAAGGCCCCGAGACCCTTCGCGAGGATGCCGGCAAGCCTCGCCGGCCCCTGAGATCCGACGTCTCAACAAACATGAGACGCCGTGAAAAATCGCGCCGTGGAGCCCTGTATAGACCCTCTCGGCCTCGCTCGATCTGCGAGCCGGATCCCTCTGTGAGGGCCCCAGCTGGGGGGCCCGGAGCAGGGCGAGAAAGCCCGGCTCGAGAGAACCTCCTCCTCTTCCTCCTCCTCCTCCTTCTCCTCCTCCTCCTCCTCCTCCTCCTCCTTCTCCCCTCATTCTCCTCCTCCTCCTCCTTCCCCTCCTCCTCCTCCTCTCCTCTCCTCCTCCTCCTTCTCCTCCTCCTCTCCTCTCTCCTCCTCCTCCTCCTCCTCCTCCTCCTCCTCAGCCTCCTTCCCCTCCTCCTCCTCCTCCTCCTCCTCCTCCTCCTCCTCTTCCTCCTCCTCCTCAGGATCTCAGGGGCCGGCTGGCGCTGAGGGCCCCGATGCCGTCGACCCGCGCGCGATCGGCCCGGCCGTGCGCCGGCGGGGGCGGCCCCGCCGCCGGCGCCTCACGGGCTCGACCTGGGCGGCGGCCGCGCGAGAGGCCGCGCGCAGAGAGGTCGGGCGCTGCCAGGCCCAACGACGCCCGTCACCGGCACCGACACCGACGACGACACCGACGACGACATCGACGACGACGACGACGACGACGACGACGACGACGACGACGACGACGACGACGACGACGACATCGACGACGACGACGACGACGACGACGACGACGACGACGACGACGACGACGACGACGATGATGGGAGTGAGGAAGCTTCTTGTCGGGGGATTCCTGTTAGGGAGAGGGCTTAAAAAGGGTCTGGGGCCTCTCGCGACCACGACCGGGCGCAGCTCAAAAAGCTGACTCTGTGGAGCTCCCCGGACAAAGAGGCAGAGAAGCTGGGGCCTTGGATGCCCTGGAAGGCTTACCATCGCTCGGACGTCCACTCTCCGCGCGTTTTGCTCGGTTCCGTGCGTGCGTTTGTCGGCGGCGAGCCCCAGGGGGAAGTGAGAAGGGGCGGGCCTTCTCATAAGGCTCGGAAGCCCCCCGGCCTCTCTGAGAGGTTTCCGATCCTTCCCTGGAGACACAAACAATCTCTCGAGAGGCGCGAGGGCGTCCGAGAAGCCCCGCCGCCTTCTGAGAAGGCCTTCTCCGTCTCACTTCCCCTCCTCCCTCGCCGCCGAGTTTGT